TTTTTTTTTCTTACATATTTGAAGTCTAATAGGTAAAAAAACTCCATGTGAAGAGGTGAAACAGGCTGTGATGACTGCAGGGTGATCTTACCACCTCACGTAAATGCTAACAGGACTTGAGCTTATAAAGCGCTTTTCTAGTCTTCAGACTCCTCAAAGCTCTTTTACACCGCAGGTCACACCTACACTTTCACACACTGATGGTAGAGGCCGCTGAGTAAAGAGTCCGTCAGTATTAACTCATCCATTCACACGCTGATGGTAGAGGCCGCTGAGTAAAGAGTCCGTCAGTATTAACTCATCCATTCACACGCTGATGGTAGAGGCTGCTGAGTAAAGAGTCCGTCAGTATTAACTCATCCATTCACACACATTCACACGCTGATGGTAGAGGCTGCTGAGTAAAGAGTCCATCAGTATTAACTCATCCATTCACACACATTCACACGTTGATGGTAGAGGCTGCTGAGTAAAGAGTCCGTCAGTATTTACTCATCCATTCATACACATTCACACGCTGATGGTAGAGGCCGCTGAGTAAAGAGTCCGTCAGTATTAACCCATCCATTCACACGCTGATGGTAGAGGCCGCTGAGTAAAGAGTCCGTCAGTATTAACTCATCCATTCACACGCTGATGGTAGAGGCCGCTGAGTAAAGAGTCCGTCAGTATTAACTCATCCATTCACACGCTGATGGTAGAGGCCGCTGAGTAAAGAGTCCATCAGTATTAACTCATCCATTCACACGCTGATGGTAGAGGCCGCTGAGTAAAGAGTCCGTCAGTATTAACTCATCCATTCACACGCTGATGGTAGAGGCCGCTGAGTAAAGAGTCCGTCAGTATTAACTCATCCATTCACACACATTCACACGCTGATGGTAGAGGCTGCTGAGTAAAGAGTCCGTCAGTATTAACTCATCCATTCACACACTGATGGTAGAGGCTGCTGAGTAAAGAGTCCGTCAGTATTAACTCATCCATTCACACACATTCACACGCTGATGGTAGAGGCTGCTGAGTAAAGAGTCCGTCAGTATTAACTCATCCATTCATACACATTCACACGCTGATGGTAGAGGCTGCTGAGTAAAGAGTCCATCAGTATTAACTCATCCATTCACACGCTGATGGTAGAGGCCGCTGCGCAGAGTCCATCAGTATTAACTCATCCATTCACACGCTGATGGTAGAGGCCGCTGAGTAAAGAGTCCGTCAGTATTAACTCATCCATTCACACGCTGATGGTAGAGGCCGCTGAGTAAAGAGTCCGTCAGTATTAACCATCCATTCACACGCTGATGGTAGAGGCCGCTGAGTAAAGAGTCCGTCAGTATTAACTCATCCATTCACACACTGATGGTAGAGGCTGCTGAGTAAAGAGTCCATCAGTATTAACTCATCCATTCACACACTGATGGTAGAGGCTGCTGAGTAAAGAGTCCATCAGTATTAACTCATCCATTCATACACATTCACACACTGATGGTAGAGGCTGCTGAGTAAAGAGTCCGTCAGTATTAACTCATCCATTCATACACATTCACACACTGATGGTAGAGGCTGCTGAGTAAAGAGTCCGTCAGTATTAACTCATCCATTCATACACATTCACACACTGATGGTAGAGGCTGCTGAGTAAAGAGTCCATCAGTATTAACTCATCCATTCACACACTGATGGTAGAGGCTGCTGAGTAAAGAGTCCATCAGTATTAACTCATCCATTCATACACATTCACACACTGATGGTAGAGGCTGCTGAGTAAAGAGTCCATCAGTATTAACTCATCCATTCATACACATTCACACACTGATGGTAGAGGCTGCTGAGTAAAGAGTCCGTCAGTATTAACTCATCCATTCATACACTTTTACACGCTGATGGTAGAGGCCGCTGCGTAAAGAGTCCATCAGTATTAACTCATCCATTCACACGCTGATGGTAGAGGCCGCTGCGTAAAGAGTCCATCAGTATTAACTCATCCATTCACACGCTGATGGTAGAGGCCGCTGCGTAAAGAGTCCGTCAGTATTAACTCATCCATTCACACACTGATGGTAGAGGCCGCTGTGTAAAGAGTCCGTCAGTATTAACTCATCCATTCATACACATTCACACACTGATGGTAGAGGCTGCTGAGTAAAGAGTCCGTCAGTATTAACTCATCCATTCACACGCTGATGGTAGAGGCCGCTGAGTAAAGAGTCCATCAGTATTAACTCATCCATTCACACGCTGATGGTAGAGGCCGCTGTGTAAAGAGTCCATCAGTATTAACTCATCCATTCACACGCTGATGGTAGAGGCCGCTGTGTAAAGAGTCCGTCAGTATTAACTCATCCATTCACACACTGATGGTAGAGGCCGCTGAGTGAAGAGTCCATCAGTATTAACTCATCCATTCACACGCTGATGGTAGAGGCCGCTGTGTAAAGAGTCCATCAGTATTAACTCATCCATTCACACGCTGATGGTAGAGGCCGCTGAGTAAAGAGTCCGTCAGTATTAACTCATCCATTCACACACATTCACACACTGATGGTAGAGGCCGCTGAGTAAAGAGTCCATCAGTATTAACTCATCCATTCATACGCTGATGGTAGAGGCCGCTGAGTAAAGAGTCCGTCAGTATTAACTCATCCATTCATACGCTGATGGTAGAGGCCGCTGTGTAAAGAGTCCATCAGTATTAACTCATCCATTCATACACATTCACACACTGATGGTAGAGGCCGCTGAGTAAAGAGTCCATCAGTATTAACTCATCCATTCATACACATTCACACACTGATGGTAGAGGCTGCTGTAAAGAGTCCATCAGTATTAACTCATCCATTCATACACATTCACACACTGATGGTAGAGGCTGCTGTGTAAAGAGTCCATCAGTATTAACTCATCCATTCACACACTGATGGTAGTGATCACGATGTAGTATCATCCATCAGAAGTAACTCATTCATTCATACACCACCACTGAAGCAGAGGGAGCAATTCAGGAGTTTCTCGCCCAAGGACACATCGGACATGATGCTCATCAGGGGATCGAACCCTTGACCGTCAGGTTGAGAGGCGAGAACTCTACAAACTGAGCCCCAGGAAAAACACATTTAAAAGAAAAGGTTTTGCCCTCCCCCTGCTGTGACAGTGGGGGGACTCGTGGGGTCAGTCACGTTATGTAGAGAAATAATTGTTTAAAAGCTCTCTAATCCAAACTAACGAACAGGCTGCTGTGGAACAATCAGATCAGCAGAGACATATTTATAGACGTGAGGAAACCTGGACAAAGCTGCTCTGTGTCCTGCAGCCTTCAGTCACAGACAGAAGACAAGCTGACGTCTTCAAGTGTCTCAGGCTATATTTATTATTCCATCTGGGGGCATGGGGACACTGGCAATCTTATTGGCCACCCCAGGTGCCACTCCAAAGTCCTTAACTATGATTGGCTATCTGCCCTGTCAGAGGCTGGACTTGTGTTGAAAGCAGGCTGCTCATAGATTTTGATTGACTTTGATTACAAAAACAACGTTTCAGATCTTCTTCAGACATCGTCAAGAATCAAACCCCGGTGAACGAGTTACGTAACCATGGTGACACGTTGATATCTGACTCACTTTCCGTTGTCTTTACATGAAACCCGCCCTGCAGGTCTCTTCCTGGACTGGCGCTGGCTGGCGATCTGCAGCTCCATCCCGCCGACGCTGCTGATGGTGTGCATGTGCTTCATGCCCGAGACGCCGCGCTTCCTTCTGTCACAGGGAAAGAGGCGGGAGGCGGAGGAGGCGCTGCGCTTCCTGAGAGGGCCGGACGCGGCCGTCGAATGGGAGTGTGCTCGCATCGAGGACGCCTGTGATGATCAGGTGAGTCTGTGGCTGAGGGGGAGGGGCTTAAATACAGCTCAACAGTCACCGCCCACTTTACGGCGGCTCTGGTTTCTGGAAGTGTATTTCCCTATTCTTAACCTCTGTTTACATTTCATTAAATCTTTATATCAAGAGATTGAAGCCTGTTACCATGACAACCAGCTACCCCAATACTCATGACTATAAAACATTTCATTCTGAAAAACACGGAGAAAACCTCAAAGGTACAAGACTGTGTACCGTGTCATCGTCCAGAGTGGATGGACTACACATCCCACAATGCATTGCTAATGATCCCTCTTCTTCTTAAATGTAACTTAAGTCGTCGTTATCGTGTTTATACTGTTAATGCACATGGTGTAATATCTTGTAGTTATTACATTTGTTTTTTTGGTTCATTGTTGAAAATTAGCCTTTTGGCATATTTACCAAAACGTTTATTAATATACAACGTCCCTGTAAAATAAATAAATAAATAAATAAATAAAGTCACAGCCGCATGGTGAGGTTAGCACATTCACTAGCTAACTATCTGTTCGCATACAGCGCTGTGGGGCGGGAAACATTGCCATGGTAACATTGCCATGGTAACATTGCCATGGTAACATTGCCATGGTAACATTGCCATGGTAACATCGCGCTCCTCCAATCAGAGACGTCGCTGTGACACTCTATGATCGTAGGTTGGTAGTTCTTTGACCCGATATCGTGATTATATCTGGTTAAATCTGCGATTTAAATAAAACGATAGCAGTAGTCTCTGGATGGTCGAGTCATCGGTCGGGCTCTTAGTCTTCTTCTGATGCCGGCAGCTGAAGAAATCTACCGTAAAAATTCAGAAACGTTAATTTTTTTTATCTATGAAGAATGAAAACATCGTTAAGCCTTTCTTGTTTTCTCTCTCAGGGTTCCAGTTTCCAGATGTCCGACCTGAAGGACCCCGGAGTCTACAAGCCTCTGATCATCGGCGTCATGCTGATGGTATTTCAGCAGATGACGGGGATCAATGCCATCATGTTCTACGCTGAGACCATATTTGAACAGGCACATTTCAAGGTGAGGGGGGGGGGCTCTCTCTAATGTCAGTCTCATTTAAACCAGAGTCGAGCTGCTCCTCCTTCACATCATTTATATAAGGAGCCAGCTGAGGTGGTTCAGGGATCTGATCAGGACCCCGGGGCAGACCCAGAACACGCTGGAGGGATTATAGATCCCGTCTGACCTGGGAACGCCTCCAAGTCCCCCAGGAGGAGGAGCTGGAAAACAAAATGTGAAGGGCAAACAGCTTAATGTGAAACAAAACTCTGACCCCTGACCCCTGACCCCTGACCCCTGACCCCGCTCTGTAACTGCATACACAACGTCTGCGAACGTGTTGTTTTTGTTTTCCAGGAGAGCGACCTGGCCTCGGTGATCGTGGGCACCATTCAGGTGGTCTTCACTGCGGTGGCAGCTCTGATCATGGACAAAGCGGGGAGGAAAATCCTTCTCATCATCTCCGGTATATAAACTCAAATCTGATTTATTAACTTCATGCTGCACGTGATTCCCCTTCCTCTCTCCTCCCTCAGACTGATATCTCTGTCATGTCCGCTCTTTATTAAGGACATAAAGTTAAGTTAACTTTAATGTTATTATTATAAATAAGGACAATCGGGTGATTTAGTCTGTGAGTGAACGATGCAGGCCGGCCAACCGGATCATACGCAAAGATGAGTCTGAACCTCAAAGCTCCATGGTCGACGGTTTCATCAAGAAGATGCATAAAACCGTCTAAAACGTTCTTTTACTGCAGCAGAAGAAGAGACTTATTTCTGTGTGTTTTGTTGTTTTTTTAATCCAGGTGTTGCCATGGCGATCAGCACCACAGCGTTCGGGGTTTACTTCTATCTGACGCCGCCGAAGCCCAGCATGACCCTGCAGAGCGGTCTGCTTCTGGACGTCCAGACCTCGGCTGCTCCGGAACCCCACCTGGACCTGGCCTGGCTGGCCCTGGTCAGCATGGCTGTCTTCATCACAGGTGACCAGTCCAGAGGCGGACAGTCTTCATATGTGTTTATGTTTGGAGGTAACAGAGCTGCAGAGAAGTGAACTGTACAGCCTCACACCGACTGAACAGCTGTTAAATAGAAAGTCAACGTTTCCTCTCTCTGTGTGAAGCCTGAATTACTTTTTCCCTTCTCATCAGGTATATTTAGTTGTTCCTGTTATTTCACAGCTGCACATCTGTAAATCTGTCACCAGCTTTAAAAATATAACAAGTAGAGCAGCAACGTTTAGAGATTTTTCTTCAAAAGTAGTTTGAATACTTAAAGGAGCAGTATGTAACTCTGACCCCTGGTGGTTAAAATGAGTACTGCAGTCTAAATTCTTCAGTGTTTATCCAGCTCTGCATGGGTCTGTAAACCTTTCTGTGTTCTAACCTCTCTCCATTTTTCAAAAGCATCTCCAATATTGATCCTAGTTTGAGCACGTTTCTGCTCGTGGAGCTTATTAGAAACATGCAGAGGCTTTTTAGGTCGGGTACAATCACTTCTATCTGAACCACTTCTCTTGACCGCTTCCATCGCTGCAACACCTGTTGACCTGATAACTGCTCTCATATCTGACAAACCGAGGGGCGTCCAAAACGGCCGTGTTGGGGGGGTCTTAAAAGCGCCTACCTTCTCTGGTCCAAACAAATCCAGAGCATTCAGGAGCAGAATCTAAAGTTAGAAGGAGGACATACTGGCTGCTGCATTGTTGTCAGAGAAGCCAGCACTTCAACATGTTTCCTTAATGATCAGAGAGTAAGATACCTTTATCATCTCACTCTCTACACAGCTCACTGATTGGACCTTTAGTTCTCCAGAACCTCACGTCATCATCTGACTGAATGTATTTCACTTGTTGTGTGAATATTGAATCCAGGAGGATCTTTACTTTGAGTTCCCAAAACAACGTGACTTTAATAAATGTTTCTGTGTTCAGGTTTCGCTATTGGTTGGGGTCCGATCCCGTGGCTGGTGATGTCAGAGATTTTCCCCGCCAAAGTCAGGGGGGTCGCCAGCGCCGCCTGCGTCCTCACCAACTGGAGCATGGCCTTCATCATCACCAAAAACTTCCAGGACATGATGGTGAGTCCTCCACGAGAAACTCCACCTTTTTCTCTCGATCGAGTTATTTTGTGATCACGACTTGTGCTTTTGTTGCTTTGACCTTTGACCTGTGACTCTTGACCTCCTCCAGGGTCTTCTCACCAGCGCTGGAACCTTCTGGCTGTTCGCCTCCATGTGCGCCCTCAACGTCGTCTTCACCATCGCCTTCATCCCAGAAACAAAGGGCAAGACGCTGGAGCAGATCGAGGACACGTTCAGAGGGACAGCGGGACCGTGACGGGACTGTGACGGGCCCCTCCCTGCGGGACCGTGACGGGACCGTGACGGGCCCCTCCCTGCGGGACCGTGACGGGCCCCTCCCTGCGGGACCGTGACGGGCCCCTCCCTGCACATTCAATTTAAATGTTTTTAAATCAAACCTGTCCAAAAGAACTTTTAAATCTACGACCTCGTCTTCCTCAGGACGTTGCACATGCGTTTTTTTAACCCTTTGTTGAGTCTGAAATGACGCCGATCGTGACCCTCTCTTCCTGAGGGTTTCTGTTGTCATGGAAACAACGTGAAGTTCACAACCGATCATGACCCTCTCTTCCTGAGGGTTTCTGTTGTCATGGAAACAACGTGAAGTTCACAACTGCTCCACGAGGGTTTTGATGCTCACTGTTTTCACCTTAAAGACGTGACGCCCTGGTGTTTGTGTTTGGAGCCTGAAGTGATCACGTCTGATTGGTTGATAGTCGTGCGTCCGTCTCAGGCACTTCCACGCCGGCGCCACACATTTTCATGGTGAACTTTCTGATTCTTTTGGAGGGGGTGTTTTTTTCTACTATTCACCCTCATGTATAAAGATATGATTAGAAACACTCTGGAGGGTGATGTGGTACTTTTTAAACCCGGGACTTAATCTAAAATGTTTTTTTGGGGCTTGAATGAGTCATCGGTGTTTTGACGGGTAACTGACAGCTGTAGAAAAAACCAAGATAAAAGTAAAGCTGTGTCTCTTTGATTGATGAAAACTAATCCTTTAGTGGACACACTTCAGGGACCTGCAGCAGAGAGAGTTCTCAGCTGAAAGCGGACGCAGCGCCCAGCGTCTTTTTTTCTTTCCTAGCACGCCGCCTTCTTTTTGTCCGAGCGCTCAAGTTGAAAATCATTTAACTTCTCAGAAAGGCGCTGATGACATCACCGGCGCTCTTTTCCAAATGTTTGATATTCCCCGTCGTTGTGCCGCCTGCGGATCGTGTCTTGTGCTCCGCATCTGATCAGGAAATAAACGATCTCAAATATAAAACGTGTTCAGATTGTTTTACAGCTTCTTCCACTTCTCCGTCCCCCTCAGGAGGGCTGAGTGAGCTGATGATCAGGAAGATTCACCTGGAGCCAGTGGGAGGGGGTGGTGACGTTTGTTCCCTGTGATTGGTTCACGGTGCAGAGTCCATGTTTACATAGTCTGAGTCAGGAGTGAGTTCTCTGTTTGAGAAGAATAATGTGTTTTTTGTTTTATCAGTTAAACTCAAACAAAAGGAGGGTTGAGTGTGTTTACAGCGACTGTGCTTTACAGTTAGTTTAAAAGTTTACATTCGTTCATTTGAAGTCTGAAGTAGGAAAGGTGTAGAAAGAAGTCCGACTTTAAAGTCTGAAAAAAGATTTCATAAAAAGGAATCCTGTCAGACTTAAGAGAGAGAGAGGTTCGAGTTCTGACTTCATTTGAGATGGAAAAAATGTTACAAATATTTTAGAAAATATGAATTTTTGCAGAAGAAGTTTAAAAAAAAATCCATATCAGAAAAATAAACAGAAATTCTGACTATGATCAGGATCGTCTCCCACAGGAAATAAACAGACTCAGAAATATTTCACTTTTTGTAAACCTTCAGGCTGATTAGAAGAACTACAAACGTTGAACTGTAACCTTGTTTTTATGTGATTATTTACTTTTTTTACGACGGGGGATTAGGGCCACGTTAAAGAAAAAAACGTTCTAAAATGTTGAGAATAAAACCGTTAATTTATAATACGATTTAAACGAGGGTATGGTTCAAATTATTATTCTGAACTGTCACAAGCTTGAGCGACCTGTGTGGCCCTAATACTCCTTCATACATCTGGGATATCTGAATGTAATGTTTGTAGAAACAACCTTTAAGTGATGTTCAGGAGTCAAGAAAACACATCGACTCAGGTCTTCTTTTATCTCAGCTCACGTGACTGTGTCTTCTTTCTTTCCTCGTCTTTGTGGGAATAAAAGGAGAACCTTCAAAGCCACCAAAGAGAACATTTCCTCCTCCATCTTCTTTCAGTGTCTTTTCAGTCCTGAAGCTCAACGTGCTGCTGATATAAAATATGGGCTCATATACAGAAAACATTTATGTGATGAAAGCAGCGTGCACAAAGAGAGACGTGTCAGATACAGAAGATAACGGTGACAAAATTAGTGATGCAAGTTTCCACTTTATTGAAGTAGAAAATAGAATAAAAAATGATCACCAATGACATTTCAGACATCGTTCAAATAAAGCAGAGCAGAAAACAACCACAAAAAAATAATGCAATAAAAAACTTAATTATAATTTCATTAAAATCTCACGCTCTCTTTTCCATAGATTTCCATTATCTTTATTTCATTTTGTATTTTTAGTTTGATAACTAAAGTTTACAATCTTCAAGATATGAACAGAAATTAAATGTTGCCATATTTTTGTAAATTTGTACAATCTAAATAAATATTTCGGTGGGAAAAGACGTTTCCTTAAAAGTTTGAATTCTGAGCATGCGCATTGAGTGTGTTTGACTTTTCAAAATAAAGCTGTATTCGTCAAGTTTAGCAGATGCGTGACGTGTAGTGTTTTGAAGATGTGTTCATTGTAGTCGAAAAAGAAAACAGAATCGTGGGAAATACTTCTGGGATTTTTGTTTCCATGATATTTGTTAGAAATGTGAAAGTTCCTGCCCTCAGGAATTATTGTGACAGCGGCCCTGAACGTTTCCTGTCCGCGGTAAAAAAAAATACAGGTGTTACGCCGAGAAATGCACCCC